TCCCTAGAATAAAATTTTACATCAACTTGATATATGAGATTCGAACTCTACAATTAAAAATCTGAAAGAATCTTAACATTATCATTAACAGCCGTGATTGAAAATGCCCGTCATATTACACGAACACTTTTATTTAATTACGGCTTAAACTAGACGACTGACCACATCTATAACCACGAAAACTTTATTCGAAAAATTATTCGAAAACCGAAGAAAATACTATCTATAGCTTTGATTAAGTTAATAGTCACCTTGATTAACAAGCACTCCGCTGTTTCAACGGTAATTCGTGCAACGGAACTTATTTCCTATCTAACAATAGACGCTGTCTAGAAAACTAGAGTGGGGATTGTCTAGAAAACAACACATATCGAACTAATGAGAGTTGACATATTGACTGTTATATTAACTCATTTGGAAGTCATGACTGCGAGCACAAAATTAAACAGAGTCAAATAAATTATTATGGTGTTATAATATCAAAAGGACAGCGCGACAGCCTTGAGTTCAGAAAATGTTCACTATGGTCCGCAAGAAGAATCGCATAAGAGTCGACATCTCACTGTCTCTGTCAGTAACGATCCCCGCCCTCAAGCTAGAAGCAGATCGGGATATTTCGCACAGCTCCTGCCCGAATTATGGTTAAGAGAATCGGAGTATTGAATGAGTGATATGAATGATATGATGTGAGTGATATGATATGAATGAGTAATATAAACTTTCTAAGCGGTCTTTATATATACTCCTGCCCTGCAGAAGGCTTCTACAGCGTGATGCTTCAACATGATCCAGAGATACGTCACTCGGCTGAACTTTTTTTTTTATTGCCCTTGTAGGCAGACGAACATACGGCCCACCTGATGGTGAGTGGTTACCGTCGCCCATGGACTTCAGCAATGCCAGGGGCAGAGCCAAGCCGCTGCCTACCGCTTAATACTATCCACAAGTCTCGTTTGAAGAAGGACATGTCATAGCGCTCGGGAAACACCGTGACTAAGTACCGTCTATTTCTGCCGCGAATCACTTAAGCGTTCCGGTTTGATGGGTGCAACAGCCGTTACACACAATACAATGACGATATCTACTTCATGTGTCAAGGTGCGCGGCGGCATCTAAGTTGAAAACTAGGTTCATAAAACTAACTAAAAAACTTGGTTTTTTATTATTGCTTAGATGGGTGGACGAGCTCACAGCCCACCTGGTGTTAAGTGGTTACTGGAGCCCATAGACATCCACAACGTAAATGCGCCACCCACCTTGAGATATAAGTTTTAAGGTCTCAAGTACAGTTACAACGGCTGCCTCACCCTTCAAACCGAAACGCATTACTGCTTCACGGTAGAAATAGGCGGGGTGGTAGTACCCACCCGCACGGACTCAGAAAAGTTCCTACCACCAGTAGGTTCATAAAACTAATTAAAAAAATAGGTTCATAAAAACTAGGATCATACGCAAGTTTACCCATCAACGCATTAAATATAAAGATCTTAGTTTAACAATATACCTATTCATAAAATTATCGAGCCGGTCTGAATTTGATCCTGGATCGTGGGTAACGGAACCAGTGACACAATCGTATCATGCATGATCATTATGGCTGAAATAGCTGGAAACACTGTCAGTGTGTGTCATTAGTGTAATGGCAATTATTAACGTCACGTTACGTCAGTTTGACAGATTCAATGTTACCAAGGATTGGGTACACGTAAACTCCGTCTAGTATTTCAATAATGCTCTACCTATATATGTTCTAAAAAATCTTATAAATTTAGTACATAGTAAATGCGACTAATTTTATTTTCTATTTTTGCATTGCCTTTGTTAAACTATGTTGTATTTGTTTTAATATAAGGTGATTTAAAAATTTAATCAATAAGATGATTTAAGCGCATTAAAATTGACAACGTATTCATAGTTTCCAATAAGAAGTTGACTAATTAAACAGTTTTGTTCTAATTATATTGGCAGCCCTGGTGAAACCGTTAGCCAGGGCGGCGCCGACCGTTACGCGTCACACTTAACTGTGATGTAATCACACAGCCTTGAAAGTAACAAACGCGAAATTTTCGCAAAATAATAGCAGTAATATTTTGCGAGACTGATTTCGGAAATGTGTTATAGAGATAACAAAAAAAAAGTTATTTTCTCAGATGATGATATGACATGACAATTTATAAGGTTTTTTTTTTCGGTCACTATCAAATCCAAGCCATTTCTTATTTCAAATTATAAATAGATTCGTAACATGCATGCGACCGTAAAACAATGAAACAACCAACATTTACTATGAAATTTTATTGGCAAAGGGAACACAGTCATTCGTCCAAGAGTAACGTATAGATTATATAAATACACTACCCCAGTCATAGACAATAAGTCGTTACTGATCGTAAGGTAGACTCGTTGAGACACAACAATGGGCACATCCTATGAAATATGGTTAAAGTCTTCTAACCCGATTATTTAGGTGTGGTCTCGTTTAAAAACTGGTCGGAATAGCTTTGCCAGTTGAAATATATTCATCGAACAGTATCGAAAGACAAACTTGATTCCGTTCTTTATGATACTTTTTATAAAATACTTTTACTTAAATGCAAATGGTGGACTAAATACTTGTCTTGGGTGAAATAGTGGATTTGGGTCTACATTTAGATATTACATGGACAATATTCCGAGAATTTGTTCGAGATAACTCTATCAACTTTGTTTTATTACCCTAACACTGAGCACCGGGTCGGATTTCAACCCTAATACCTTTACGTTCATCCATAATGGAATTCCGGATTTTTTTTTTTATTTCCGTCAATTTCCCTCCATAGCAAAGAGAATTTCCCAAAAACTATGACATGTCCTACTTTAAATGATGTTTGAGCAAGTTCCAAAAAACGTCAGTAATAAATAAATTATAGTAAGTAGAAATTTACGAATGTTGTACATTGATATATAAAAACTTTAAATACTTAAGTAAACTTTAACCTTAACTTTAAACTTTATATATCAATGATGTTGTACGACGTCTCTGTTTGTCTTATTCTTTATTTTGGCGTTTGTGTCGTTTTTAAGTTGAGGTCGTCGTGACCTAAAGTGTAAGACAAGTAATAACATTTAATAAGAATCCCGCAAAAAAAAATCTGCGCAATTGTGTTAAAGCGATAATTGCACATACCTTATGCAGTATCTTACGACTTTAATCCGTCGATGTCGAGAATCAAAATATACGCAACCTGTATTCTTCTATGTCATAGTAGCTGACGAAATATCATCACGCTTATCCCGGTCGTTACCCCGTTTCAAAATGCTATTCAGATTTAATACGACAAGAAAACTTCTTTATTACAATAATAATTCTATTGAAACACATGCATGCAACCAACTCTGTTTTAATGAATATTTTAACCTCGCGACTAAATAGACGTAATTTAAAAAGAACACGCCATTACAATGTTAATAATAAATTCTTGTAAAGATAACATGCACCGTCGGCAATTGGTTTTGTGGACGCTAGATTATTATGATTGACTTATAACGAACGGCTTTTGATGATGAAACCCGGTCTCGTAAATATTTTCTACTAATATCTACTAATATTATAAGGAGGAAAGATTTGTTTGTTTGTTTGTATTGAATAGGCTCCGAAACTACTGAAGCGATTTGAAAAATTTTTTCAATGATTGGAAGCTACACTGTTTCCGAGTGATATAGGCTATAATCTTTTTTGAAAAAAATTAGGGATCCTTACTAAAACTCCAATAATGTAACCCAAGGTATAAAAAAATTACCTAAAATATTCTTTACGTCGCGTGCCCTGCGAAATCTATTGATGATAGGATAACACAATGTACTACGACTTGGTAGAACACATTATTATTTACAAAAAGTGTCGCGTCGGCATATGTCTAACTATTATACATTATAGTTATGCCGCAATAAGTGTTCTTTTGTTTAAAAAAATAAAACAACGTCAAATATCGTTGAATTTTTTTGTTAAAGACCCGAGCGGAGCCGGAGCGGGCCGCTAGTTTTCTATATATTTATATTATACTGTCGGTAAAATTCGGCCATGATTTGCATTTGTGGCATGGATTTTGAGCTTTATATATACTATACGCGCATAACCCTCAATTACTTTGACGATAATATGTGAGCAAACAATCCCAGATGAATCATGGACGATTGGAGAAGATAAAAAGATTTAAGGAATTTATTGCGAACTATATTATTACAATGCATTTGTATATTCCCGATCCTGCGGACAGAATGGAAAGCAGTCGACGTCGCCCAAAACACGACATCTCGGATCCTCCCGATCCACTAACGATGCTTCTAGGTACTTCAAGCACCGGTCACCGTTCTCGTCGAACCCGTCGCTTGCGACGAAGGGCTCGACGAGTAAATTAACTCCCAGACACAGCCCACTGAGTTTCTCGCCGGATCTTCTCAGTGGGTCGCGTTTCCGATGCGGTGGTAGATTCTGCGAAGCACGGCTCTTGCTAGGGTTCGTGTTTGCAACGTCATCAGGTTTGAGCCCCGTGAGCTCACCTACAAACGTTAGGGTTACGCTGAAATAGCCCCTAAGGCTATCAGCTTAGGTAGGAAAAAAAAAAGCATTTGTATGTTCATTATGCTTTTATTTATTAATTACACAATCGAAAATTATGAAATTTTGTATACACGTTCTCAGTGATACAAAAAAGGACCCAGGGTATATATTTTTACAAAAAAGGTACTATATCCGAGGGATATTTTTATATTATATTTATTGTTCATTATTAATGCAAGCGAAGCCTCATGTAAAACCTATTTATTCGACAATAGCTAAACGATTTTCTAACATTGAAAACATTAAAAAACCTTAGCTATTCTACTCTTGACCGGTAATAATACAGAATGATATAACTTCCGTACCGGATATCCATCGCGTCATATCCCGCCTTCCTTCTCCATTCAAGTACTTAAAGAGTATGCAGTAAAACTGTTAATTAGTTTTATCGATGACTTACCTTCAATTATGAGTAATTGTAAATCTGAAACAATAAAAATTGATTATTAAATAAAGTTTATTCATGGTGCAAATCAAACATTAGTTTTTATTTCATCGAAATAAATCTGTTATTGGGTTTTAGGTTGACTAAGAGAATAAAGATATTGTTATGAATTTTCGCACGAGGCGCAAAAACAGCTGAACCCGAGAGCGCCCAATGAAAACACATTTAGATACAGGCTACGTAAATGCTGAATAGTATAATATTGTCGGTGGGGTCGATGACCGGAGATAAGGGAGGCAATTACCTATGATTATATTACACACAATATAACAATTGTACAGTATGTTACTAAGTAACTTTTTTATTATGAGCATAGAGATGCATAGGAGATCACGGATCACCAGATATTGAGATCGGTGGTATTATGTTCATCCCACCATTCAAATACGGAACGCATGAACCAATGCGAGCTCCCACACCACACACCACACCACCAGCACTCAAGACAGAAACGAGGAGAACAAAGAAAAAAATATTTAGGAATTATTGCTGTAAATAAAGTGGTAGGTTAATAAATGCTATCTGTGTTTCACCAGAGACAATCTGTGCTATAGGTAAGCCAACGAAATTCTTGAAATTAGCCTTTCCTTTTTCGAGGCAGACCAAATTCAGGTTTAGTCTGCTATTATTTATCTAGCTAGCTTATTATTTATCAGCTGTATGGTTAAGACCTCATAACATGAATTCCGTACCGATCTCGTGGTCGAAGTCTGTGTTGCATTGTGAAACGGCTGCTCCTAGTACAGTAATGCTATGTTTCCCGATCCAACAAACGTTAATTTGTATTTGTATGTACTGTTGTGATATACCTAGTCAGGTCATAAATTCTGTCACATGTTTAATGTAAAATAATTGAAACAACTTTATTCATTACTAGCGACCCGCCCTCGCTTCGCTTCGGAAACATTAAAACACAGTTGAAACCAAAAAAATAAAATAATTTTTTTTTTTAAAAAAGTAGCCTATGTTCATCAGGGACAATGTTGGCTTCTAATGGAAAAAGAATTTTTCAAATCGGTCCAGTAGTTTCGGAGCCTATTCGAAACAAACAAACAAACAAATCTTTCCTCTTTATAATATTAGTATAGATGTAAACATTCATATACCAAAATGAACTTAACAAAACATAGATTCTTATGACACTAAAGTTTATTCAAAATGACTTCCGTGATTTTGAATACAGGCCTTCAATCTGCGCGGCCAGTCGTCTATCGCAGCACGAACGAGGTCCATGTCAATATCGGCGGCTGCCTTAATCAAGGATGTCTTGAGTGACTCCAAATTGGGATGAGGCTTTGAGCACGCCTTTTCCTCCAAGTGTTGCCATATCTTGTAATCTAACGGATTCAAATCTGGACTGGAGGAGGGCCAGTCTTCGTGCCGGATGAAGTCGATTTCACGCGCCGCCAGCCAGTCTTGTGTGCTCTTCGCTCTATGAGCTGGCGCCGAATCTTGTTGGAATACCCAGTGCCTGTTATTGAACATGGTATGAGAAACAGGTTCCACAAGGTTCGTCAGGACTGTATTTTGATACACAACTGCATTCGTTTTTACACCTTTCTCACAAAAATGTACCTCTGTTAAGCCCCAATAAGAAACTCCCAACCATACCATGAGCGAGGATGGAAAATGACCTCGTTGGACACGCGGAATACGGTTGCTCGCTTCTTCACTACTGTGTGCGTACACCTTATCATTTTGTTTGTTGTAGCTCTCTTCTACGGTAAAAATTTTTTCATCCGAAAAAAGAATTTCCCGATATTTTTTTCCCGCGTACCGCTTCAACAAAGCGCGGCATCTCTTCAGTCTCAGGTCCATTAGACGAGCATTCAAACGATGTCCTGTTTTTCTTCGATATGCCCGAAGCCCTAAGTCTTCATTTAACACCCTTTTCACCGTGGTTCTGCTTAACCCCATCTGAAGGGCCAACAGTTTCTGCTTACGTTTGGGATTTCTTTGAATTCGCGCCTTCACAGCTTTTATCACTGCTGGAGTCCTAACAGACCGAGGGCGACCACTTCTTGACCTGTCATCTACACTAGAGTCTTCATTGTATCGTTTGATGGTACGATAAACGAATCTTTTGGTTATATTCAAATTTTTCAGTATGTTAAAAATTTGAATTGGCGCGTAACCGCAACGATGCAACGCAATAACTGCAACACGGTCTTCTTTAAGCGTCCCCTCCATATTTAAAAATGAGTAAAATTCTAAAAGTATACATTTTTATTTTCATGAACAATTCGAAATTCGAATTCAATAAACTTTTTTGTGGCCAGCATTCTAAAAGAAAAGTTTTTACTGTGTGACAATACTTATGACCTGACTAGTTATAATATTAATTTATTTAACTTTTTATAATAGTAAACATGATATAATTCGGGCAACGCCGTATATATCTATTACTAGCGGCCCGCCCCGGCTTCGCTTGGTTAGTAGCGCACGTGATGTAAAGGATTTTAGGAAAATTTTTTACACATTACGTTACATTATTGGAGTTTCACTAAGGATCCCTATTTTTTTTAAAAATATAGTAAATATAGCCTATGTCACCGGGGGATAGCGTAGCTTTCCAACAGTGAAATAATTTTTTAAATCGGTTCAATAGTTTCGGAGCCAATTCAATACAAACAAACAAACAAACTAATCTTTCCTCTTTATAATATTAGTATAGATAATAAAGGTCACCGTTCTCATCGAACTCGTCGTGCGACATCGTTCGACGTGCGAACTAGCCCATAAACACAACCCACTGAGTTTCTCGCCGGATCTGCTCAGTGGGTCGCGATTCCGATCCGGTGGTAGATTCAGCGAAGAACTGCTCTTGCTAGGGTTGCAAGACGTGCTTCGGGCGACGGTGGCTTTGCTTTTTTTTCCTACTTAATCTGAAAGCCTTGAGAGGCTATATCAGCGTAACCTTAACTAGTAGGTGAGCTCACGGGGCTCAAACCTGACGACGTTGCTAACACGAACCCTAGCAAGAGCCGGGCTTCGCAGAATCTACCACCGGATCGGAAACGCGACTCACTGAGAAGATCCGGCGAGAAACTCAGTGGGCTGTGTCTGAGGGTTAATTTACTCGTCGAGCCCTTTGTCGCAAGCGACGGGTTCGATGAGAACGATGACTGGTGCTTGTGGTACCTAAAAGCACCGTTAGTGGATCGGGAGGATCCGAAATTACGTGCTTGGGGCGACGTCGACTGCTTTCCATTCTATCCGCAGGATCGGGAATGTGGCTTTGCGTTGCCCCGTCATCTGTATATAATTAGCAGCCGCCACGATAAGGGGGCTGTGAGTAGCTAGAATAACCCCTTAGGCTATCGGCGATTGGGTAAAGAAAAAAATATAAATATAAGAATTATGTAAGTTTGTTCATTGGTTCTTCATTTTACATGCCGAAGGATCTAAAATTCAATTTTGTATTATTTGAACATAATAATAGCTCAAACATTACTTTGTACATTTTCACCAATTGAACTGTTTCATAATTACAGATCGCTTTCGAGTGAAACCACGGGACATGTCTTCATCAAACATATTTTTAAAATATTTTACTAACAATCACGCCACGTTAACTGGTCCCGTGTTAAGTTCGTAAAGAACTTGTGTTACAGGTACCAGATAACGGAAATAAATGTAAGATTTTTATTATACACATACATATATTTAATATACATCCATAACCCTGGAAAAGACATTTTATATAATTTATCATACAAACATCTTCCCTTGGCGGGGTTCGAACCCGCGACCCCCTTGTGTAGTGACCATGTCACTTACCACTACACCAGACGGCCGTTAAACCATAATCCTCAACATAATCTTCACAGCTTTGTGCTACAAAACGATGAATTTAGAAAGTTGATCCTTGACAGTGTTTATTTTTGAAAACATTAAAATTCGCGTGACGTGAAACTGAACGCATTCTACTTCCTTATACATGCATAGATAAAACCTTCCGCGTTACCAACATTGTTGACTGTATAAACGTTAAAATTTATCTTAATAGTTTCATTAAAATTTACGTTGCCTTTAAAAAAAACTAACATGTGTAATGGGAGTCGTCGTGGCCTAAAGGATAAGACGTCCGGTGCATTCGTATCGAGCGATGCACCGGTGTTCGAATCCCGCTGGCGGGTACCAATTTTTCTAATGAAATACGTACTCAGCAAATGTTCACGATTGACTTCCACGGTGAAGGAATAACATCGTGCAATAAAAATCAAACCCGCAAAATTATAATTTGCGTAATTACTGGTGGTAGGACTTCTTGTGAGTCCGCACGGGTAGGTACCACCGCCCCGCCTATTTCTGCCGTGAAGCAGTAATGCGTTTCGGTTTGAAGGGTGGGGCAGCCGTTGTGACTATACTGAGACCTTAGAACTATATCTCAAGGTGTGTGGCGCATTTACGTTGTAGATGTCTATGGGCTCCAGTAACCACTTAACACCAGGTGGGCTGTGAGTTCGTCCACACATCTAAGCAATAAAAAAAAAACCGCTATAAATTTACCTACATAACGAACGAGAAGTGAAAACCTGTGCTGAGGTGGATTAAAATCTTAGCGAGTGCAACGGTCTCTAGAGATAAGGCATGGTACATGTGTTTGTTACAAAGACTCGGTTTTCTACACTTTTTATACTATGTATGCATTTATTTAAGTACTAGCTGTACCCTTCGCTGGGCATTTAAAATTAACATTATTATTTCTCACCCCCACAAAGATTCTCATCATTACCGCCCCGCAACTGGTGTAGGGAGTCCAACAATCGTATAAATATTAGCCTAATCATTAAGTACATGTATTTTCTACATGGATTCCAAATTTCATGTCAATCGGATGCATGGTTTAGTAGTTATAACGGAACATCCGTAAAAACCACTGTAGATAGATAGAAGTATAAGTTTAGATTTTAAAACAAGATTAATTTAAACATTTTTGGAGCACAGTTCTGTAATTTTAAACAGAAAAATATTAC